GCTGTTAGAGTTTATATTGCATACCATTTTTTTCCGCTTTAGTTACTTTGCTTAGCAGATCTGGTGACCAATTAATGAAATGAAATGTTAAACTTAGAAGGAAATTCCTAGAAAAAGTACTCCCCCCCTTCCACCTTATAAGGCTTTGTCCTTGAGAAAACAAATTAAGCTATGAATGATTACTCAGCATATATAATATGAGGAGAGTCTCTGTAACTTCTGTATGTACAGCAAAAACAAGTTCACTAATAATCGGCTTTGCTTCGATACTACTGTTCTTTTCCTGTGCAGTTGATTAAGCCGATATTTTGCAATTTTTTCAGATACTATATATTTGTGGAGCTCTATTTTATCCGCAATTTCCCTCTTAACTTGTGAGTAGATGCAGAGAACATAATATTTATTGGAAAAGGTTAGAGACTGATACTATTTAGTGTTGTATGCATGACATATTATTTCTTCACGGTTGAAGCCGCATATGTTTGCTTAGCAATTGGTCTCAGACACTCAAAAAGTGTGAGAAAGTTGCAAGGTTAATTCTGCTTATTGTTTTATTCTGAATCTTTACTGAAACTATCCTATAGTACATAGATTTTCTATCACTGCTTCACATGTTTGTGACAATGAACATTTCTCTCTACACTTTATCATTTTGCTCTCAGATGAACCATTCAGCCTTCCATAAGTGCACTTGCCATAGAGAGGGTAAGGACTCCTGTAAAAAGCGTGCTTCCTGTGAGGAATCAACCTATCTTCTTGGTATCTCCATTTCTATGCTTCTTGAATAATACAGTTCGTATCATAATACGACTCTTTTTCGTCAAAATTGAGCAACCTTCCTTATTTTTGTCAAATTGTTCAGGAGTAGACTGTTGGAATAAATTCTTTACTTTGACATAAATCTTGTTTGCTATATAAGAAGCTCATGATCTTAAATATGTGTCCTTTCACATTCAACATAGGATCGAAATCCTCTGCAATGATTACATCGAAGCCCGGTTCATCTACAGAGGAAGAAGAAGTCAGACCACTTTCAGGAAATCCTTTCTTCACATGTATCTTTCTGAAGGCTCATGTAGACTCCCCCTACCAACTGGTACTCTCTTAACTTCTTCAATTATTTGTGCGTCTACTTTGTTTTGGCTTAAGCACCTCTTTTAGAAAAGATTGATTCATGTATATCACTCTCATACTAGCTTTACTGAGGAAAAGTTCAATTTGTGTCCATGCAAATTTAGTTAGATTCTACAAATAAACATTTATAAGTAATTATACAGTTGCTGATGATTTTTTGGATTTTGATAACTTTGAGATCAAACCCAACCTTTTGAGCCTGGAAAAGTATCACCATGTTTTTGCTGCATCTGATGACTCCTGTACAATTACACTCCGAAACTGTGTGTGTGTGTGTGTGTGGGGGGGGGGGGGGGGG